TGCTGACTCCTCTTCAGTTTGCAGTCTCCTAACTACCACCCCCAGAACAAATGCTGTCTAACCAAGCTTCCCCATCTTATACTCATGAAGTTGAATTTTTATGCCCAAGTATAAGAATTTACATTTATTCTAATTTAATGTTATTACATTTCTCTCTAACAAAGTATCTCTCATACATACGATAAAATCACACAAGATTCCTTGAGGATACAATAATGGAAAAATGTCATTTAACCCTCTGATTATTACCTTCAAGTAAGGCATAAAACAGAGATGATGAATGCTTGGCAAAGGTATTTATCGGTGTGTTGTGGAGGACGTCTAGAACAGAGTCTCAATGAAAAAGGAGTTGTCTATAGAGTAGGAGATCCTCCAAAAGAGTTTGACCAACTATCCATTTGGAAAAAATCAAATGAATGAAGAATAACAATTGTCTAGATTATAATGTGCTGTTGGATGGACAATCTAGAGTCTAAGTCCATCAACAGGAGGAAATCAGATTGTATCATATTTGGAAGATGACAAAGTGCTCTGTAATGTCTCATCTTTCCTGAAATAGAGGCCTCCTTTAATATCAATTTTTTTTCTCGTGGGACAGCACAACCTCTGAACAATCAAAATTGCAGTTGTAAGTAGGCTATGTAAGCTTACCAAAGAAGAATGAAGCCCAAGAAATGGTATAAAATATATTATCAGATATATGACCAGAAAAGGAGATAGGCCACTCTTGTAGTGAGAGGTAGGGATAACTGATAATCAATTCGTGTGCTTTATATACAATACATACAAGGTTGTTTTAAGGATCAAATGAGCTAATGGACATAATAACTGTAAGATATCAATGCAATATTTTAAGCCTCACAGCAATATAATGACCCTTAGGATCTGGGTGGTTCCCTTATGTTGCTTTAGAGAGCTTATATGCAAATAAAAGTTAGGAACAGGATCAAAAACACTCCAATACCCCATTTAGGAAAATTCTTAACATTTAGGCAGAGGTTTGGCTCTCTGTCTTCATTTACATTTACATTTACCCCTTGCTAATCTCTGGCCTCTTTGTGTGGCAAAATTCAAGTTACTGGAATCATTTAGGTAAAGAAATACAGATCTATTACACTGTTTGTTGATAGGTGTGGAGAGGGGAAGTCAGGAAGAACAGACGTCAGTCTTTGAGAAGGTGGCATCAGCTGTCTCTCTTCTGATATGCTTGAAAAGCTAATGGCCCTTGTGATTTCTACCTTCTGTTTCTCCTTTCAGTGGTTTCTTCTGTCCAGGTTCGTTGTTGATGTGCTCACTATTTCCTCTCTACTACCAGACCCTGGGAATCTCTCCTTGCTCCTGAACTAGCTTCTTGTATGCAAGCTTGATGTAACCAAGTCCTTCCCCCAACTGGTGCACACTTGCTGTTGCACCAGATTTAAATGTCTTTGATTAGAGGAAGCATCTAGTGTGCAATCAAGATATGTTCTCACGTGATAAATGTATCAAGGTTAAGTGTTTTTCACAGAATAATAGGTCACGGCTCCATGCCTTAATACTTATTTAAATGGGATAGGGTCATTTACTTGATTTACTCAATGGACCTCTACCCTTACATGGCAAGGCAAGTCAGCAAGCATTTATTAAGTACCTACTATGTGTCAGGTGCTGTGCTAAATGCTAAAAATGATAACAAAGTGTTATATAAATGTTAGGTATCGCTATAGGGCCTGAGATTTTACTGACATAGGCAACACACAGATGAGGGAGCTCCCTCTACCAAGGCAGAATGCACCTTCTCTATAACTTATAGTCCTAAGAGAATTGCCTAAAACACTGAGAGGCTAAGTGATTTCCCCAGGGTTACTGCCAGTATATATAGCAGGATTTGAACCCATACCCAATGTGCTTCCTCTGGATCTCTTGGTATACATTCAGAGGGCTATCCATGGCCTTTGTTTCTTTTTTTTTAAAATTAATTTATTTTTAGTTTTCAACAATCACTTCCATAAGCTTTTGAGCTTCAAATTTTCTCCTCCTCCCTCCCCACCTCCCTCCCTAAGACAGCATGCAATCTGATATAGGCTCTACATATACATTCCTATTAAACATTATACAACATTAGTCATGTTGTAAAAAAGAATTAGAACGAATAGGAGGAACCACAAGAAAGAAGAAACAAAACAAAACAAGAAAAAAAAGAGTAAATGGTTTGCTTTGATCTGCTTTCAAACTCCATAGTTCTTTCTTTGGGTGTGGAGAGCATTTTCCATCCTGGGATTTTGGGAGATGTCTTAGATCCTTGCGTTTTTGAAGAACTAAATCTATCAAAGTTAGTCCTTGCACAACGTGGCTGTTACTGTGTACAATGTTCTTCTGGTTCTGCTTATTTCACTTAGCATCAGTCCATATAAGTCTTTCTAGGTTTTTTTTTTTTGCTCATCATTTCTTATGGCACAATAGTATTCCATTATATTCATATAGCACAACTTGTTCAGCCATTCCCCAGTCGATAGGTATCCCCCTCGATTTCCAGTTCTTTGCAGAGCTGCTATACATATTTTTGTACATTTGAGTCCTTTTCCCAGTTTTACAATCCCTTTGAGATACAGCCCTAGAAGTGCTATTGCTGGGTCAAAGGGTGTGTACATTTTTGCATCCCTTTGGGCATAGTTCCAAATTGCTCTGCAGAATGGCTGGATCAGCTCACAACTCTACCAATAATGCATTAGTGTTCCAATTTTCCCACATCTTTTCCAACATTTATCATTTTTCTGTTTTATCATGTTAGCCAATCTGATAGGTATCATGTGGTACCTCAGAGTTGTTCTGACTTGCATTTCTCTAATCAATAGTGATTTAGAGTATTTTTTCATCTGGCCATAAACAGCTTTAATTTCTTTGTCTGAAAACTGCCTGTTCATATCTTTTGACCATTTATCACTTCGGGAATGGGCCTTTGTTTCTTTTTGTACACTCTCTCCCTTAGAAGAAGTCTTATTCATTCTCATGGTTTTGATGGTGATATCCAAGCTCACGACTTTTAGTCTGGAATTCTAGAATACACCTGCCGCTCTCAATAAGACACACCACCATGAAGCTCCCACCACAGTGAGAGTTGGGTGACTGGTCTTTGCTTCAAGAGATGGTGATTTAAAAAGCAGACTTCTGCTGGCCTGCCATGTCTACATCTCACTACCCTGCATGCCAGCCCCTTGCATCCACCACCTTCGTCCCCTTTCTAGTATCCTGGCACAGGGTCTACTTTTTGGGTTTTTTTCCCTCCACACCCTGAGAACTACAAAGGTGATAACTGCCATACCTTCCTTTACCTCTGATCGGACTTAATTTTCTACTCTTACACTTTTGCTCAAGCTAATCTCAAGCTGGGTAGTGCAGTGAATAGAGCGTTGGGCCTGGAGTCAGGAAGACTTATCTTCCTGAGTTCAAATCTGATCTCAGCACTTACTAGCTGTGTGACCCTGGGCAAGCCACTTAACCCTGCTTGCCTCAGTTTCCTCATTTGTAAAATGAGCTGGAGAAGGAAATAGCAAACCACTCCAGGAGACACACCTGAAATGACTGAACAAGAAGAAGAAGAAGCTGATCTGTATCACCTGATGCCTCTTGGTTTATAAAGCCTTTTACCCTCCTGAACCTCATTTAGGATGCTGCATGCACACCTCTCACGTCCTTACCAAATGTTGTTTTGCATTATAGTCACTTGGGACATTTGTCACATCATCCTGGTGGACTCCGATCTCCTTCCTGGAGCACAAGGACCTGCCTCATCTAAACTTTGTATTGTCTCTAGCACTATGCCATATACACAGTAGGCACTTAATAAATGTCCCTGATGCCAGGTCTCAGGAATAATTACAATATTGGTTAGCACTTTCATAGTGCTTTAAGATTTGCAAAGTAGTTTACTTATATTATTTCATTTGCTCTCTCAATAGCCCTATGAGGTAGGTGCTATTATTATCTCCACTTTTACAGATGAGGAAGCTGAGGCAGACAGGGATTAAGTGACTTGTCCACCATGAACACCTAGTAAATGTCTGAGGCAGGATTTGAACTCAGGTCTTTGTAACTGAGAACCACCCCTCAATTAAAATGGAAGGAGAATCTAGGGAGTCAGGAGAGGAGGTGGCAGATTAGTGAATTTTCTTTCTCTGAGGTCTTCAGGTAAGGGCTAAATGCCCATTTCTTGAGTATTTGGTATGCTAGATTCATGGGGTTGGACCATATTCACAGATTCACAGACCAAATGACTCTGGGGACACTTTATAATTTAGGAAAGACTTTTCTCAGGACAGCCACATTCTTTTAAAAAGTTAATTTTAGGGGCAGGTAGGTGGTGCAGTGGATAAAGCACTGGCCCTGGAGTCAGGAGAACCTGAGTTCAAATCCAGCCTCAGACACAAACACTCACTAGCTGTGTGACTCTGGGCAAGTCACTTAACCCCAATTGCCTCACGTTAAAAAAAGATTATTTTAAAAATATTTATTTAGTTTTCAACATTCATTTTTATAAGATTTTGAGTTTTAAATTTTCTCCCCCTCCTTCCCTTCTCCTTCCCCAAGACAGCATGCAACCTGATATATAGGCTATACATGTACAATCATATTAAACATATTAAAATGTTATTTTTAAATTTTTCTTAATTTAAATTCTTAAGTTAAATCTCAAATTTTGACTGATAATTTAACATGTGCCAGATTCCCTCTCCCCAACAAACTGACTATCTTCTCATATACCAGCAGCATAATGGAAGTCACCCAGAAAATTTTGTAACATAAATAAGAACTGGGGGGTGGGGAATGCAGCATAAAGGTAATTCTTTTACAGGCTTGTAGAATTGGCCTGCTTTTTTTAGTCTGAGAATAAAACTTTAAAGTTCATCAACATATTGTGAAAATATAACAAAAAAATAAACCAAACATTCAGTTAAAGAAACTTTATGATACAATAGCCATTGCTGAAGTTATCTTGTAAATGAAGACCGTGCATTAAGATCTCAGAAGGCATAAATTCTTCGGGTAGCTAAGTGAATTCGCTACAAGACAGGAGAAAAAAAGCTTTATAATACAAGGTTCTCATGTTTTAAGCCGTATTTCATAGTATCTGTATATGAATATATTCCGTGTGCCTAATTTATGAGACACTATAGCCATGAGTGGAAAGAAGAGAAAACAAGCTGAGAAGGCGTGGGTAAGGTGATGTCAGTGTAGTAAGTACCCACATATGAGACCATGAATTCATCAAGGTATTGTATATATACTTTATTTTTAATGGGTAAATTCATTAGGCAAGTAGTTGAATTGTTAGTCATGTTTTATGAGGCAATGTGGGCAGCACTGGACATGGAATTGGGGAGGACCTGGATTCAAATCACACCTCTCTCATGCTTTCCCACTGTGACACAGCCAAGTTAGTTGATCTCTCTGAAGTTCATTTTCTTCATTAGTAAAATTGGGTTTATAAGTCCCATCCTAATAAAAGCTAATGTTTATATAGTGCTTTAAGGCTTGCAAAATACTATACAAATATTGTCTCATTTGATCCTTATAACAACACTGGGAGGTAGATCCTATCATATCCCCATTTTACAGCTGAGGAAACTGGAACAAACAGCTGTTAAGTGACTTGTCCAGGGTCAAGGTTCTGAGGCCCAATTTGAACTCAGGGTTTCCTGACTCCTTGTCCGAGCTCTATCCACAGCTCTTACTTTTCTCAATGGGTTGTAAAACCTAAAGGAGATAATACGGGGTTAAGTGCTTTGTGTAGCCATCAGGAATTACTGTTGTAAGAAAGAAACAACTAAAATTCACCAGATTCACTTTCTTCCTCCTTAGAGGCCTGAAGGACTGTGCTATGGAGTATCTTCTTAGCGAATAGTACATGTGTAAAACAAATTAAAAGGTGAACTTTGTTAATTCTATTTGTCATTTGAAAAATACTGTTTTCTCTAAGAATACAAAGTGTAAAGCTAAAACAGGACAGGGAAGAGGAAGTTAAAGAGGATAGCAATACTTAGTTTCTTTCTTGATTTTTGGCTACATTACTTAAAAAAAAACACCGGTGATGAGACTACTTCATATATTTAAACTATGTTTGAATGTTTAGGGGACTAAATTCTCAATAATAAGATTAAACAACAAGTTATGAGTTGTGGCCACTATCACCCCCATGACCTAGTAACTTCTGACCTCTGTAGAACTGATCAAAGTCACATTTAAAAGGTGGGGGCGGGGGAAGTAATTCTTTCCCCTTCCCCTTCTTAGGACTCAGAAATCATGAAAAATCGTGTTTTTAAAATCCGAAGAGAATTCGCAGATGAGACCTGAATTCAGAAAAGCATCTTATCTATGACGTAATCAAGGCCAGTTTTCACAACCTTTCCAGCTGCTCCTTTTCCTCCATCTCCTGGGGCTTAGGTCTCCACTGCTCATCCTTCCACTGGTCCTGCCCAGCCCCTCCAACCAGGTTGGAAGCCAAGTGATGGAAGGAGGGATGGGGATGAAGTGGGGGGAGGCGAGGCCTTTATTGGTCTGTACCACTCTCCCCACCCCACACCCTCGTCCCTTCCTAGAGCTCCATCCGAAAAGCGGCGTGGGGCCAAGTTCTCTGCCTTCTCCCAGCCGTGGAATGTTGCGGTTCCTCGTGGGTGATTTCCATTTCTTAGAAAGCTCTCCTGCGAATGGACTCCTACATTCGGGTGTATTTTTAAAGTTCCACTGGAAGCGGTGTTTCTCTGAACGTTCCTTGGCAGGGTCAGTAGAAGGGAAAGTGAATTTTCTCTGGCCAGTGATGTGCAGAGGTAAACCAAGGGCAAGGAGATTTGGGGGGGGGGAGAGATACTCTGTGCTGGAATCTGGGTTAGTGCCTTCTCCCTTTGGACACTGTCCATCCGTGTGGTCAGAGCCCCTGATGCTTCTCCACGTGACTGGGTTGCTTTTGTTTTCATTCCTTCCGTTTTCACGGTGCCCGGTACACAACAAGCGCTTAATTAATGCTTCCTCTCATCTTTCTTACGTGCAAGGATGCTAGGAGAGGGGCACTGTCATCCGTCCATCCATCCATCCCTACGCTTCCAGCCGCCTTTTAAAAAGATGTTTCCTTAGGGACCCCAAGCCCTCTGGCTCACTCGGGTTTTAAACACACACACACAATGTTCAGCTGCACAGGCGGTTTTTTGCAAATAACCACCCCGCTTGACTGAGGAAGGGCGAGCCCCCCCCCGCTCCCACCCCCACGGTTGGCCCCCCAAGGGTCCCCTGCCCTCCCACGACCCGTGACAGTCCTTCTCTCCTTCCTTCCAACTCAAAAACAAAAAAAAGCCTCCCTCACCAACCCTGCCCCTCGGTTGCTAGCCGCAATGACGTCACCAGCCAGGGTCCCGCCCCCCGGGGCGGCTCGGGGCTTTCCGATTGGCTGCAGGGCCGCGATGGCGAGCCACCGATTGGGCGGCGGGGCGTTGATGGACAGGAGGGCGGTGCGGGCTGCGCGAGCTGTCCTCCCTCTCTCTGTGGGAGAGTGTGTGAGTGAGTGTGTGAGTGTGTGTGTGTGTGTGTGAGTGAACGCGAGCGTGGCAGCACCGTGGAATGCCGGACGCGGCGGCGGCGGCTGTGCTCATTGTCTGCGCGGGCGAGGGGCACTGAGGGGGTCGTCCCTGCCGGCGCTCGCGCTCGCCGCTGCCTTTCTGCTCCGTCCCCTCGCCCCGCAGCCTCGGCCTCGTCGGCCGCCACAGCCGCGCTAGGCCCGGCCGGATTCGCCTCCGCAGCATCGGCCTCGGCGGCCTCCTGGGCCGCGCGAGCTGAAGGGAGGCCCGGCGCGCGTCCGCGAGCGCGCGCGCGCGTGCGGGGAGGGGGAGGGGAGGCGAGTGTGCGCGGGTGTGCCATGGGGCCCGGGCAGCGGCGCGGGTAGGCGGCGGGCGGGCGAGCAGCGGCAGCTCCGGCCCCAGCGGCGTCGGCGCTCCGGCCTCAGCAGCTCCCGCTCCAGCCCCTGCCTGGGCTCGGGCCTCGCGCGGACCCTCGGCGGCGGCGGCGGCGGCGGCGGCGGCGGCGGCGGCCCCGGGCCTGCGAGCGGCGCCCACCATGGCCAAGTCCGGCGGCGGCGGCGCGGCGGCGGCGGCGGCCGGAGGAGCCGGCGGAGCCGGGGGAGCCGGCGGGGGAGGAGCCGGCGGAGGCCTGACCTGGGTGGTGAGTCGCGCCTGGGCGGGCGGGAGCCTTTGTGGGGGGCCGGGCCGGGCCTCCGCATTGTTCTCAGCCTGGGCGGAGGGGGAGGGGAGAGCGGGGGCGGGGAGGAGGGAGCCCCCCTTCTTCACCCCGCCCCCTCCCCACTCTCCCCGCTCAGGCCTGGAGGCCGGGGGTTGGGGGGGACGGACTTGGAAACTTTCTCCCTCAGCTTAGGGTTGGCTGTGGAGATGCTGTGGCCGTGCCCCCCCCCGCCCGTTCTCCGGACCGGGGGCTTGGGGGTCGGGGGTCGGCGAAGCGTTGGTGCAGGAGATCTGTGTGTGCATAAATACGGCGCGTCCCCTAAGTCCTAGGCAGCGTCAATAATTCGTGTATTTTGGACAAGCATAGGGTGTCCCCAAAGTCTTAGTGCAGCTTTAAGCTCTGAACTTCGGGTATTGATCAGTCCAGGGTGTCCCCAAAGTCATAGTGCAGTCTTAAGCGCTGAATTTCGAGGATTGGATCGATACAGGCTGTTACCTAAATGTCAGTGCAGTCTTAACTTCGGTTATGGATCAATACATGGTGTCCCCAAAGTCTCAGTGTAATCTTAACTTCATGTATTGAGCAATACGGGGTGTGCCAGAAGGCTTAGTGCAGTTGTAAATCCTTAATTTCGGGTATTGATCAATACAGGATGTCCCAGAAGTCTTAGTGCAGTCGTAACCGGTTAATTGCGTGGATTGATAAATACAGTGTTCCCCAAAGTCTTAGTGAAGTCTTAAGCCCTTCGGGTATTGATCAAGACGGGGTGTCCCCAAAATCTAAGTGCAGTCTTAGGCTGTCAGAACTTCCGAAGGTCTCAATAAAGTTTTAAGCTGTGAAAGCTTAAAGAATTTGGAGATGCTCTGTATTTATTAAGCACCTCTTGGCTTCAGTCGGGTCTCCACTACAATCTTTCCTTCAGCCTGAAGCGTTTCCCAGGCCTCCTTTATCTTAATGCCTTCTCTCCGAGATCATCTCCCATTTATCCTGTCTGTGTCTTGTTTGTACACAGTTGTTTGCATGTGGTCAGCTCCCGCCAGTATATTGAGAGCAGGGATTGGTGTTTTTGTTTTTGCCTTTCTATCTCCAGAGCCCAGCACAAAATAGGTGCTTAATAATCACCTGTTGTCCGACTGTGCGCGCTAGGTGCTGCATCTGTTTGTGCAAACTCAGCCACTCCTCTTGGGATGCTACCCAGCGTACAGGAGCTGTTTAAGGAGGCTGGAATAAGGAAACAAAACCAAACGAAACCCCTTGGGGTTATGTGTGTGTGTTATCTTGGATAGCAAATCGTTCTTGGGGTCCTTATCCCTGAAAAAGGCGACTCCTTTCCCCTAATACTTAAAAGACCTTTTATGATGCTACCTGGTGTTTGAGATCACTTTAATTCAGCTGGGGATGGGGGGAGGCGGGGGAAGAACTCAGCGGGTTGTTTGTTTATCTTGAATACCAAATCTTTCTGTGTGCCCTTATGAAACAGGGCAAGTGGGAAGGCGACTTCTTGTGTGCTGGGGGCGCTGTAGTTAGGCACGCGCCCCCTTTCTGCTTTAGGATGTTGCCTGTTTTTGTAAACTCTTCTTGGAGTAAGAGGTTGGGAACCCCAGGGAGCTGTTTTGAATCTTAAATACTCTTTCATGGTGCCTTTACCCTTGAGAAAGGGGATGTGGGAAGACGACTTCCCCTCAAACCAACACTTAAAAGACCTGAAGAAAGATCTGAGTCTTGCGTACGTTTTGCAGCTCACAGGGGATAGCTATTTTTACAGAAATTAATCCACTGTGGTTCCTCCTTCATCCATCAGGGGAAGATGATTAAAAGCAGCTTTTAGAGATGTCAGCAGCTTACGTGAAATGGGCAGAGGGGCTGAGTGGGGTGTACTGGAAAGCAGACTAACCTGCTCCCCTAGTTCTGAAAGGGCTCAAACTCCGACTCGATTTGGACCATTTGGTGTGGAGCTTTGACCGGCAAGTCCATTGAAGAGGGAAGACCTGAAGGGACCTGGTTCCCACGGCAGATCAGTAATTCAAAGGCATTTCATTTGCTCAGCTTTGAGTTCAGACTAGGGTCATTTCCTTCATGTAGCTAACAGAAAAGAAGTCCACTGACTCTTTAGGGTGGGAAACAGTGTACTATATTCACTAGCGTTGCTTTTCTAGGGGCTTTTGACTCCTATTAATCATCTTAGGATACTTCTCTTCCCTCTTCTTCTCTCCCATCCCTCCGAATTGGCCTTTTGTTAGTTAATTTATTCTACTACAACTTCCTCTTCTTTAAGTCAGATTTGTAGCAATAGAAAATTGGTGTTTTGTGAATTATACTCCACTCATTTATTCATTTATCAGACATTTACCAGTCAGTTGTTTTTGTTATTTATGTCTTTTGCAAAACCTATAAGGAGAGTAGAGAAATATTTTAACTATATTTTATAGTTATAATCAAATACCTTAAAATTACTTTCTAAAATATTTTAGAAAAGTATTATTTAAAATATTCTAAAATATCAATGTCAGCATTTTAGGTATCTTAGTGATTTGACTGGAAGAAGATAATGTGACTAAATTAGAGACAAGGAGGTGATAAGCTCTGGATAGGATGAGGACGTGGCAAAGGATTACAAAGAAATAGTTTTTTTTCTTTTAAAGTTAGGTTACTTCTTTCCTTGTTACTAAATTTGACTACATATAAAGATTACATTAGATGTCCAAGTCAAGCTCATTCTATTGTGTTAATCATTTTACTCCAGAAATCATAAGGTGACTGGTTTGGATCCTTTACTGACTGGAAAAGCCATAGTTTACTCTTAGTGAACATTGTAGGGAATCAAATTACCTACTTTCAAATTGTGCAATTTTCATTTCATTAGCCTAACTTGTGAAATTCTGACAGCAGTTGATATTGACTTCTCAGTGTGATATTATCCATTTAAAGAATTAGATTCATTTTGCATTTTTGAAATTAAATTATTCATTGATATGTATTTAGACATTTGATTTTTATGCTTTTTCTGGGATGTGGCTATGATATTAAGTTATGATTCCAACTAGTTTTTATAGAGGGCGAATCAGTTTTAAAAATAGATTTTTGGTGTTAATGATTTCAAAGTGTATTGTTCTGTCAGGTGTCTTTAACAGAATTTCAGAACTTGTGTTGAAACATGACAAGTATTCTGCCATAATGTTTTCTTTTGCTACATTATAGAGTGACATATTAACTTGATTTACCAAATTTTAGTTGCTGTAGCTCCTAAAAGTTTGGTAAGTGTCTTGACTGAGGAACTGGAGAAACTTACTGATAGAGATGTAGACAGATCCATTAAAGAAAAGTAACTTGTTTTGAAGTCACTTACATGATCTTGTTAAAGAGAGCCTTTAGACGACATTTCAGATTTGTTAATAATTTAGCTACTGCAATTTTAGGTATTAAGACTAGAACTTGAAATGCATTTTTGTTTTGCATGGATGAGAGCACATCTTGAATGAGTGTTTAAAATTGTCACTCTGCAAAATAATTTTCTAGCTTAACTTTTCTAATTGTACTCTGAACTGTATTGTTCATAATAATAATAGTCCACATTCATATAGTGCTAGTCATTTTCTGTACAATATTCTAGTGAAGTAGTGGTATAGGCAGGTGCTGCCCACCCCCCTTTTAAGGATGAAGAAATAGGCTTAATAAGTGGTGAAAAGGAAAGAGTGCTAGATTTGGAGTCCGAGGACCTGAGTTCAAATCTTAGCTCACTTAACCTCCCTTTCTTCATCACAAAGAGTGGGACTTGATGACTGCCAAAGTCTCTTACAGGTCTAAGTCTGTGATCCTGTGATAAGGTTGTGGTCTTTGCCCGAGGTCACAAGAATAGTAGGTAATAGAAATGATAAGAGAGACCCAAAGGGGTTGTTTGACTTTAGTTGAGTATCTAGTACTCTTTTTTTTGTGCTTTTTTTTTTTTTAGTGAGGCAGTTGGGGTTAAGTGACTTTCCCAGGGTCACACAGCTAGTAAGTGTCAAGTGTCTGAGGCTGAATTTGAACTCAGGTCCTCCTGACTCCAGGGCCAGTGTTCTATATCCACTGCACCACCTAGCTGCCCCTGATCTAGTGCTCTTTTCTTGACTCCAGGGCACATGTTTTCCTGTAGCTGGTGATGAAATTTTTGATTGCCAGTATTAGAATGAAGGAGCATTTTTGTCAACAATTGAAAATTGGCAATCATATCTCTGCTAAAAGACAAACATAATAGAAGAAAAAAATAGAACAAATTTTCAGGGAAAAAAAACCTATTTAGAGTGAAGTTCTGGTTTAGCAGATTGTAAAGAAGTGACCTCATGGATATAGAAACAGATGGATGGAGTGCCAAAGTGGATAGAGTGCCTGACCTTGAATCAGGAAGACCTGAGTTCAGATTTCACCTCCAAATAACTAACTGTGTGAACCTGGGCAAGTCACTTAACCTTGGTGTACCTCCATTTCCTCATCTAAATGTACAATGGAGATACGCCTACTTCCCAGGGTTGTTAATGAGGATCAAATGTGCTTTGCAGGAGAGGAGAGAAGGGAGACTATTATGGTCAGGTTGCCCCTCCAATCAGTAACATCCTGTGGCTTCCTGCTACCTCTGGAGTCAAATATCAATGCCTGTCTCTAGCTTTTAAAACACAGCCTTGCCCCAGACTCTTTCCTAGTCTCAGTGACCATTACTCCCCACCTTTTTCTCTGGCTAAACTGGCCTCTGTGGTCTTGTGTGACATTCCATCTTCCCTCTCTGTGCCAGCTGTCGCCTTCCTTCCTCATCTCCATCTCACAGAGTCAGCTGGAGTGCCACCTTGTAGAGAAAGTCTTTTTTTTTTACTTCATCTGATAGCTTCCACTCCATCACCTTTCATTT